AAACATACATACATACATACATACATACATACATACATACATACATACATACATACATACATACATGTAACAATCCCCCCAGCACATAATAATTGTAAGCGTCGACCAATCACAGCTACTGCATTCAGTTACAGAGGACGCAGTGTGGCTTTCTTCAACTGTTACAAAGTATTGAGGACACGATTTTAACTTATTAACGTATTAAACAGTTCTTTGAAAAGATCACATTCAAGAAGTCTTCGGGAGTTTTTTATTATTTGTTTTTCTTATGTGGTATTGGAAAAGCCAAGAATACCTCAGAATTAATAGAGCTACAGATGGGATTTCAAGCCCTTCCCCATTCTCTCCCTCTCTCTCCCTCTCTCTCTCTCTCTCTCTCTCTCTCTCTCTCTCTCTCTCTCTCTCTCTCCATATGTATACAGGTTTTTTCACTGTTTTGAAAATAAATCAAACTGATAAATGAAGAAAAAAGACACTGTGTGTGCGTGTGTATCTCTCTCTGTCTCTCTCTCTCCCTCTCTCTCTCTCTCTCTCTCTCTCTCTTTATATCTATCTCTCTCTCTCTCTCTCTCTCTCTCTCTCGGTTTTATGAACTTCCTATCTACCCCCCCCCCCTAACAGACACAACTCTCTTTATTCACGGGTAATCTTAACCTATCCGTCCTTATTTTCGAATTCTGGTTGTCTGTGTCGTTCTTAAGGCTGCCTATCCTGGTGGTTTAATTACAGATGAACAGGATGTTAAATCCGGAGATTTCTCCTCTCATGTAAGCTCAAATTCTTGAAAAAGGAATTCACCCATGCCATACCATCAAAATAATGATATATCTCTTTTTAATTTGATTTTCCCCAGTCATTCAAACAATAGTGAGTTCACATAAAGATTCGATCGTTGAAAAACCTCTTTATTCCCAGGAAGGAGAATTTGTGTGGTTAAAGGAAACACAAGGCGTTATTCTAAGCTCTTTCTTCTGGGGATACGCGGTGGCTCAGCTACCTGGGGCTTGGTTCAGTCAGAGGTAAGGCCCGTAGTTTTCTTCACTTCTTTTACAGGATTTCCCCTGTATTACCCATCTAAAAAGGAGCCCTTTCAAAGTGTTATAACTCCAATTTCAAGAAAACTCCAAAACAGATACAATTCTATTAAGGGGACTTCAAATTTGCCAATGTTTGTTCTGAGGTTTGTTTAAAGTTGGTTCAAAGGTGACTGAGTTCTTGCCCTTTAAATTGATCCTCTTTAGATACCCGGTATATTATTATAGAGGCATTAGATAGTTATGATCCATCACATAGTTCGTTACTTTAATGCTAGGACACCCGTGCCTCTGAATAGGCCACAGACTAATTGGAATGATATTAATGGATTCCTCAGTTTTTCTTTCAAATTTGCAAGTAACTCACCGTTTGGAAGCCATCGACCTCATGCTTTAATCCTATTGTGCACTTTAGTTCTTGAAGCAACATAAAATCGTACCATTAATATGTACTTGAAATTAATATAGCATACCTTAGTACTGAAAATAATATTATTTTTTTAAGAGGCCCTCTTTGTGGATATCTATTACACTTTTGGTATCTTTCAGCCTTTAGTTTCCTAATGCTTTATGCTACTGCCTATGTATTTCATGTAAAACTTCCTGGTGAGGTTCGGTTCCTCGTCAAAGCTCATTGCTATGATTCCCCGACTATTTTATAACTGCATGAAAACCAGTATTAAGATGGCCTTAGCAACCTTTTATGTGACAAATGTTTGTTCCAGATACGGCTGTAGGAGAGTTTGGGCTATTTCCATGCTCGTGTGCTCACTTTTAACCCTCCTCACACCAATAGCAGCTCGGATAGATGCTTACGCTGTCGTTGCAGTGAGAGTTGTATTAGGTCTTTTTCAGGTAAATAGTTTTAGCCTGTCTGTATCGTTAAAGTGTGACTAGGAAGG